ACAACTCTTATTGGCTAAAGGCGCCCAAATCATGCTAACTGCTAACCTATGGACAAAAGCAGGGTTAGTTAATGGAGCGATAGGAATTGTTCAAGATATTCTATTTGAAGATCAAGGGCCGCCTTCTTTGCCTGTAGCAGTTTTAATTTCCTTTGAACATTATAAAGGCCCCACTATTACTGCTTCAGATGGAAAGAAAGTTGTTCCAATTGCACCAATCCAGCGTACATGGGAAGGTAAGGTTGGAATGTGCTCACGTTTACAAGTTCCTGTCTGTCTTGCGTGGGCCATTACTGTGCACAAAAGTCAGGGTCTTACCTTGCCGCAGGCTATAGTAGACTTTGGTAATAAAGAATTTGCTGCCGGTCTTTCATTTGTGGCAGTATCCAGGGTTCGTGCTCTCAACGATCTAATTTTTAAGCCGTTCACTTTTGAAAGACTCCAGCGTATAAAAAACTGTAGGCGAATACAAGAAAGAAAGGCCGAAGAAGAACGGTTGATCTCATTAAGTAATTGTTAAAAAAATAAAAAATTATTAGTTTTTAAGAATAAACGTTCAGAAAACTTTTTTTTAAAAAAAAATAAATTATTCCCCGTTATAAACTTGGCTTTGACTAATTCCGCATGTAACCTGTAAATGATCAGTATAAAAAAAAAGTTAATACCGTATTTATATAAACATTGTAACAGTAGTGAAAAAAAGAGCGATCGTAGAATTATAATATGTTATGTAATAAAATAAGCGATCAAGTGTGTGTAATAAAATAAGCGATCAAGTGTGTGTAATAAAATAAGCGATCAAGTGTGTGTAATAAAATAAGCGATCAAGTGTGTGTAATAAAATAAGCGATAAATAGTACTCGTATTGTATTGTGTAATAAAATAAGCGATCCCGCCAATGTTACACATTAATCCTTCACGCGATGTAGTCAATCAATAATAAAATTATTTATTTTGTGTTTACTCTAAAATGTATGTTATGGATATAATCCCTCGCCCCGTCGTTCACGCGGGGTGATCAGTTAAACTGAAATTATTTATATGTAACTTCAAGTGTAATAGATATAATCTCTCACTTGGTGCAACATTAAGGGTTCCTCCTGTTGTAGTACTCGAGCCAAGTCATATTATGTAATAAAATGTGCGATCAAGTAGTACTCAAGCCAAGTCATATGAGATTTATATTACACGAATATGCAAGTGGAGACAGACGGAAAGTGCAAAGTTGCATTTTTGATATTTTTATTATGAATGCATCAATAATGATATTTTTGATGCATCAAAAACATAACTTTTGTATCACTTTGCATAGAAATTGAGAGTCCTCCGCTATGCTCCGGACAATAATGCTATAATAAGAAACATTAGTAGAAGTTTGGAACAAATAGACAGAAATAAGATTTTTTAAAAAAAGAATACAATATAGATAATAAAGATTAGAGACCTTATCATAACAAAGAACATTCAAATAGAGTTAATTAAAGTAAAAAATTATAGTAAGAATAAATAGAATAATAAAGCTGATAGCCTAGCAAAGAAAAGTGCAACAAATAAAAAAATAATACAGGCTGAAAAAGTCAGTTGTAAAGAGATAGAGTATTGCTTAGAATGGAAAAACAAATAAACTGATAATTCAACAAGATTGCTATATAAGCTAATAACAAATGCAAGAATAAGAGCTGAATGAAAAGAAACAAAAATAATTAAAGATTTAGAACCAGAAGCAGAAGTTATAATTTATGATTGAATATATTTTTGAAAAAAGCTAAAAACAACAAAAAGAATATATTGTATAATAAGAAGAAGTAGTGCCAAAAGAAGTATATTTATAAAGTGTATAATAGATAAGCTTTCAACTTTAGAAGAACTTAATAGAAGAAAATCAGATGTATATACAACAACAGAATACCAAGTATGCCAAAATAAAATAAAAGAAACACAAACATATTTAGTATTATGTAGTAGACAAAAAACTTGTAAAAAAAATTTAAAAGGTAACCATCATAACAGTTTAGAAGAGATTAAAAGAAGAAAAAAAAGTTCAGATTCTTCTATATATATTATATATAGCACTCTTTAAAAAAAACAAAAGCAAAGAAAATTAAAATAAAAGAAGTACTAATCAAAGGTCTAATTTTAAAAAAAAACACAAAACAAATTAAAGCAGCTCCTAATTATAAAATCAAAATAGCAATTCATAAATATAATAACAAAAACAGCTTAAGACATTTTTTATAAATAAGTATAGAAAATTTGATATGAGAAAATTAGTAAATAAAATAAAAAATAGGAATAACAAATAAGTTAAAAAGAGAAAAAAAAAAAAATCAAAGAAGAGAAAAAAAGTAAATCAGCAAAAAATAGAAGAAAAAATAAAAGAAAAAAGAAAACAAATTAAAAAAGAAATACAGAAGTCAATCTTAGAGCTTGTTATAGAAGAAAGAAGATCTTTTTATTATGAATTTTAAATAATTAGACAAGCATCTTACTTCTGTTTAAGATAATGTAACAGATTGCACTTAGGTACCAATAAGATGACCAGGTGATGCTAAACTTAGTCATTAAAAATATTTATGTAATTACAAATATAATTTTAAAATTTTAATAAAATACTAGTATTAAATACTCAATCTTTAAAAAACAACTTAGACAATCTAATATTATATATCTTGAACAACTCTGTACAACTAACAACAGTATCTTATTAGATTGAAACCATTTTTTATCTAAACTTTTATTCTTATCTAAGAAAAGAAAACCTTTTTGGTTTTTCTATTTAGAAGACACAATTTTAGCACACTCTTACTACCAAAATATACTACTACATTACCAATCACCTGGTTATAACTCTTATGCTTATTATACTATTAATACATCTAAAAACTTACAAAATTTAAACTTTGGTTACTTTCATATCATAATAAAGAAATTATTATTAGAAAAATACAAAAATACTTCCCCTCATCTAACTATTATTCCATTACTTACTGAACTTTCCAATATAGATTTAAATTACTCAAAATTCTATCTTTTACTCCTTGCTAAATACAAACAATGTATAAAATGTCATCTTAATTTATATAGAATTAATCAAACTTGTATTGTTGAAGTTTTTGCAATTATTTCAATACAATTTTTTGGCAGAACTAATTCCAAACACTAACTTAACCTCAATGCAAATTACTTGGACCTTATCTGCCTTACAGCTGTCAAGCATTCAACTTATATTCCTCCTCTACCTATAATTCTTATTTCTAATTTAATTGCTTCTAAAATCTTTATTCCAAATGAAACTACTAACAAACTTATATATATTTCTCAACTTAACCACTCTTATCAACAATTATTCTTTTATATTGATTGCTTAGTAATCAACATTGGTACTGATCAATACACAATAGGTATTGGTTAGATCCAAGTTGATAATAATAATCAAACTATTAACTCCTTTTCTGCTAAAATACAATTCTGGCCCTTATCATATAAAGCTGAGCTTTTCTTAATTATTATTGCAATCTCAACAGCTTTATGCAATTCAATAGTCAATATTTTTATTAATTCTTAATCAATAATTTTTAAATTTAACAACCTTCAACTTTACTTAAAACATTCTAATAAATTATTCAAATTCAACTCATAGCTTATTTGGCACATTCTTTTTAATATTATTAAATCACACAAATTACAAATTATCTTTCACAAAGTGCAAGCTTATTCAGATAATAATCTTAATGAGCAAGCAGACTCTCTTGCCAAACAACATTTATCATTATCACTTCTTTTATTTAATTACACAAACCTTTATAATCCTTATCATATTCTTTAATAGAAGCAACATTATATAGAACTTTCTACAAAATATTTTATTAAACAAATATGTAAAGTCCACATATTAGCTATATAAACATCTCAAAAATGTAATACTAAGTGATCATATTTCAATTAGAATATTAACTAGAGATTTATCTGGCTTTATTTTAATCATAATCAAAAACTTTTACACAATATTACTAATTTTAGACTCAATCAACTAAAATACTTTAAAATCAAAATCCTTCTTAATGAGTTACCAACATACCAACTATTTTATACTATTTATCCAAACCAATATCCAGATACTAATTATTTTTACTGTAATCTAACTAACTCTCAATCTTACTGATATACTTGTGCTAATATATTTTTGCTTAACCAAATTATTCAAATATTTACTAATCAAATTATCTTTAGCAAATTACCTAATTTTAATACTTATTAAAAAAATGTTCTAATTCATAAAATCCTTTATTACCTAGCTCTTAATTTCTTATACATCTTACCTAATACATTTTATCCTAATCTTACTCTTAAAAAACTTATTTCAAAGTTATTCATATCAACAGTTCAAAATTTTGACATATTATACAAAACTGTCTTCCAAGTTATTATCGATATTCTTCTTAATATTAATGAACAATAATATGACCAATTATGAAAAACATATTGCATTCATTTCTCTAACTAAAAAAAATAACAAAATAGACCTTAATTTTAACTAATTAACAAACTTTCTATATTATCTAACTCAGCAACTAGGCATACATATTTTTATAAAAATTATACTTATTTATGCCTCTGCAGACTTTCAGATTAACTACATACTCACTCTAACATATGCTCTTCTATTGGCCAAACAATTTGCAAAATTAACATTTGATCTATTCTATAAATTAAATTTAGCATATTATTAAATTATATACTAAATATTCAAATCTAGGTGAGTTTTAACTATTTTAGTAGGTTTAGATTACAGATAAATTAGTTTGAGCTTTTATTCTTGCATGTAATTTTTAATTTATTTGTTTTGTATAAATAGTAGTAGCTGTATAGTTAGCAGTTTAATGGTTAGTCCTAACTGCAAATGTTGGCTTCAGGCATAGCATATATGGATGTAATTATTTTAAATTATTAATAAAGATATAAGCAAGGCCTCACTTTAATATTAAAAAATAAAATAAAATACTAATATAACTATTTAAGAAAAAAAAAAATTAGAATTACTATTTTTTACAACTATTTTTGTAAATTCTAAATAATAATATTAAAATTATTTTTTAATTTAATTTTATTTAAATATCAAATTAATTTTAAATTATAATAATTATATATAAATAAATTATATATATATAAATTATATAAAGGTATAATTATCTAACAAAGTAAACAAATTATTAATTTCAATTAATAGTATTCAAATTTATAAATTATAAATTTTAAAAATTATATTTATATTATAATAACTGTTTTTTGTTAATTAGTTATTTGTAATCTTAGATATATTAAGTTAGATCTTATTTAATATTGAGAATTTAAAATATTTATATAAAGTATAATATTAATATTTTAAAAAAAGAAATATTAAAACAGAGGGTGTGGTGATCTAGTAAAGTAAACAGATTGTCAATTCTTAAGTAACAGGTTTAGTATTTAAATCTTATGAATAGTAAAATTTAGAAATTATATCTGTATTATGATAACTGT